GGTAGTAAGAAATCGATCTTTTTCCAAATAAATGCTTTTATCAGTTCTGTTACTTAAAGTAAATAAACTTTCTCTTTCACACTGCATCATTTGGACACATTTTCAAAATTTGTTTGTGGTTAGTAGTTAATTATAACACTATAATTTTAATTGAATAGGCAGATATTGCATTTTTAAGTATAAAAAAATTAAAACTACTGTACTGTATCTTTTGGAACGAGTGAATAGTAACGTCGCACTGTTCAGCTTCATGAGGGCTTTTGGCAACGGATCACGTAATTTTGGACCATGGTCAAGTGACGTGGACGACACCTGAGTTAAACCCTCTTCTCCTAACTACCACACCACACCAACTTAGAAGGAATATTCTACCATTACTTAGCAGGAATATTCTTTGAAATCCACTCTTCCAAGATATATAGCAGCACGGGTTCCATGATGAGTATTTTAGCGGAAAAAATAGTTTGTCAAAATTTAAGTGTCTTATTTTTTTGTATGTTAATGAAGACCTTAGAAAATTATTTGACTACTTATTTTAAGTGAACGGTATATATAATTAATTTTACAGTGAAATATCTTTAATTAATTTATTAGCTCTAACGGGTTAAATTTTTTAAAGTGGAGTATTTTGTTTATGTATATCCCTTAATTTTAAATGTAGTGATCCCAAAAAAAATATTGTATGAAAAATGCAGTAAATCATAATGCGGTTGGATAAAGTATTAATGTGCATCGCGTCCCTACACGGCGGGTCTTACAAAGTTCTAATAAAGCTCGAGTTATGAAAGTAGCTAGGCATTTGTCAACTTTACTCTATCATTAACATTTCACTATGTTTTTTATTGAATCGTCATTATAATTTAATAAACGGCGTTGCTTGCGAATATTACAATTTTAACATAAAATAAATACTACAGAAAGTAATATTAATGTATTATACTTTCAGATAAAAATTATTTACACTATTTTAAGCGTTCATTACACAAAACTTTTAACAATGTGTTTCTTTTGCTGAGCAGAGATCAGCTTAGGAAGGAAGGCATTTTCAAAAATCGACCCTCAAGAGAGTGTTACGGGGAGTTATAAATAAAAAAAAATATTCTTTTTATCAGCTATTAGATCTACATACTTAAAATTTAACAAAGGTGTTTTATTTCTCTCTCTCTCTCTTTTTTTTGTTTAGCTGAGCTACGCAAAAAAGCTTTTTTTGTTCAATTTGCAATTCACGTAAAATTAACTCATTAAAAACATCTTTATCCTTCAATCTGTGTTGTTTAATTTTTCAGTTCACCCGTGCGAAAACGGGTATACCAGCTAGTATATATATATATATATATATATACAATCTGGCCAAAAGTATCCGGACACCCCTTAAAAAGGTGATTCTGGCGAGTGACGCAATTTGATACGTAATTGAAAGCTATAAAAGTGTTGGTAGTGGTTTGTCAGATTGTATTTATGCGTTTTTGAGGCAATGAGTAAGTCAAAAGAGCTTAGTGGAGTTTGATCGTGGCAACATAGTGGATCCTGGCAATATAGTGGGATGCCACCTTTGTAGGAAATCAGTTCGTGAGATTGCGGACATTCTACAGAAGCCTAAATCCACTGTGAGTGATGTAATTGTGAAGTGGAAACGTCGAGGCAGTGAAACGGCAGAAAAACGAACCGGTAGGCCGAAAATACTTGGTGAACGCAGCCGCAGAATTCTGAAAAGAGTAGTGAAACAAAATCGCAAGTCCTCGTTGGCAGAAATTTCTCAGGAGTTCCAAAGTTCATCAGGAATTAGTGTTAACAGCAGGACTGTCCGTCGAGAGTTAAAAAAAACTTGGGATTCCATGGTCGTGTGTGCAGCCGCTCACAAGCCAAACATCACTCCACAGAATGCGAAGCATCGATTGCAATGGTGTTGAGCTCACCGTCATTGGACTGTGGACATGTGGAAAACTGTTCTTTGGAGTGATGAATCTCGCTTTTGGCAGTCGGATGGACGCGTCTGGGTTTGGCGGATGCCTGGCGAATGTTTCTTTAGTGACTACATTGTACCGACTGTTAAGTTTGGTGGTGGAAGCATAATGGTGTGGGGGTGTTTCTGGTGGTTTGGCCTGGGTTCGTTAGTTCCTGTGATTGGAAACATGAACTATGAGATGTAAGTGGACATTCTGGACAATGCTGCACTCCCAACTCTATGGCAATATTTCGGAGAAGGCCCATTTCTTTTCCAGCAGGATAACTGCTCCATTCACACATCGAGGCTTGCACAGACGTTGTTTAACGAAATGGGTGTTCAAAAACAGGACTGGCCTTCTCAGAGCCCCGATCTAAATCCCATAGAACACCTTTGGGACGAATTAGAGTGCAGATTACGTAGCCAGCCAAATAGACCATCCTCACTGCAAGCACTCACTTCAGCTGTGATGGACGCCTGGAAGGCAATTCCTATGGTCACCTATCAAAAATTGGTGGAAAGTCTTCCCAAACGTATGCAGGCTGTCATCCATGCAAAAGGGGGACCAACACCATATTAATATGTGCCTCAGGACGCTCTAAGTCCATACCACTAGGTGTCCGGATA